GGTCTCAAGTGGGGCCATCATGACTCCCAGGGTCCGTTCAGCTTCATCGGGTTGGAGGCGTCGTAGTGTCGCCCACGGCCCAGTAGGGTCTTGGAGGGTCAGTTCGCCAGGCATTTCAGCCTTCCTTCAAAACACCCATGTGCCAGAGGACGGCCGCCATTTGAAATCAATCAGCCACCAGAAGGCCGGGTTGATAGCTCCACCGGTGGCACTGATGCCACCCGACCAAAGGTCCAAAGCCGATTGTACAGAAGGAAGGAGGTCTTCGCCAGTCGTCTCCACGTTGTTGTTTGACTCCATGACATCGGTGTCATCAACAAAGCAGAAGCACGAAGCGAAGAACTCCTCGTTGGTGAGGGCAGTTTGGCTCGTGTACCCAAATCCCTCGGCCTCCATGGCGTCAATGAGTATGGCACTGATCGCAACCCAGATGCACGGGCCTGCGCCATTGCCTTGACCGCAGCCCTGGAAGGGAACATCGCCAGTTGGCCCAAAGGTCCGATCCGAGTCACCAGAGCCAGTTTGGACCCTGTGTTTAGCCTTTGCCAAGATATCAAACATTAGGTTGGTGACAGTGACCGGCAGGCCAAATCTCCGCAAGGCCGTCTTCGCTACCCAGTGAACGATGCGATCGAAGCAAGACTTCGCGTCATTTGAGATCCAGCCGGAAGACCGTCGTTCCAGGATCAGCGAGTCCCAGATCAATCGTTTGGAAAGGGCGTGATCAATGGACTGGTGCTGCTTTCGGGACCCACACTGTCCTTTAGGGATGATGTCATCCTCCTCAGCATTCTTCATTGCAGCCCGACCCGCCTTCTTGTAGTTGGCTTGAGCCTCCGAGTTGAACAGCTGGATGGTCCGCATCCGGCCCTAGCAGTTTCCCTTTGTCTTATCAAACGACTAAAGACCTTGTCTTAAGGACCAATTTTATCCCTCGATGATGAGGAAGCGCTGTAGATCCCCTAGGATGACTTTGAGCTGCCCTGAAGAATGGGATAGTAGGTTGGCAACTAAAATTGACTGGTACTACATGAGGTAATAGATAGATCCAACGATAGGAACTGATTTTTCAATCTTACAGATAGAGCAATACTATGTATTGTCGAGTATCGTTCAGACTTCTCTGATGGCAGAGTGAAATCAACTGCTGATACCGGTATAGGTAGGTACTACTACTAGTACTAGTACTTGGTAGTAGTCTCTTCACCTTTGGAATCAAGTCATTGTCTCAAACTGGTGCAAAAAGGTTGATTGTATTGCCATCAAAGTAGAATATACAATACCCGAATCTGAAAGCATCATCTATGACTATACTGTATTCGACTTTCCTATCACGGCTTTGGCAAGCAAGGAACCATGCACTGTTTCTATCTATGTTTTCGCCTGTGAATCTTACTAAAAATCGGTTGATTATTGCATGCCTTCAATTGTGGGACACGTATTTACTCCCTTTGCGATGAAATCGGGCTTTGTGGTGGCCCTTACTCATCTTGCTTGGTTCCCAAAATATTGAGTCCAGTGAGGACCCGCCGATTATCTACCGAATCCACTACTGGCTGATTCTTGCAAGTCTCGCATAAGTAAGCGTTCAATAGTACCATAGCAATAGTATCAGCTGCTAGAGTCGAGCAGTATTCATGCCTTCATTCACCTTGCTTCCAAATGGTTTGTTGTTGACACAAGATCGGGCTGCCGTCTTCACACTGACATCACTTTGTTCATGCTTCCAATCTTGAAGTATTCGAGACACCAATAATTGCGGTGCGATGAGCCTCCGAGTTTTGATTTAATCTGCGATATGAAGGGATGTAAGATAGTGTTATTCGCTTAGAGGTGCTTGGACATCATTTCAATACTGCTGTAGGCGGTTCCGACGCATCGATCATCACATCAAACATTCATGGATTGTTACCTCGTTCTAAATCTGTCTAAATCCTGGCTAACGCCAGGATCATAGCGTATGTCATCTTGCGACGCCATGCGTGAAACCAGCACTGTGTTGTATAGCCCCTTCATTGCAATCCTATTGCTTTCTCCTCTTTTCTTCTCTCTTCGTTTTTTCTTTCCTTTTTCTTTTTTCTTCCTCTCTCCCCTTCTTTTCTCCCCGGGGGATCTAGTATAAACTGCTCCACCAGGGATACCCCTCGGTTTGGTGTGAAAAACATTTCGGATGGGACGCGTGAAGAATTTTTGCACCCCTGCAGCACGGGGTTATCAAATTCTAGGTTTTCGAAATCCCATCATTTAAAGGGATCCTAACTATTTCAGGGTCAACAAATAATATTTATAGTTTATTTCTCCGAAAACATTTCGTGATTGATTAACGACGAAACTTTGTCGTAATTTTTGTCGTAGTTTGTCGTAATTTTTGTCGTAAATTCTCACCATCAACTGAGCTGTTACGACAAAATTTATGACAAAATTTATGACAAAATTTATGACAAAATTTACGACAAAATTTACGACAAAATTTACAACAGAACTAAAAAAAGTAGAGAGAATTCTTGGCTCGCGCGCAAGCATGACGTGAAACAAATCAATCAAAATGAGCCACAGTGTTGCCTTTTCAAGTGAGGCCTGCAATATCAAATATTTTAAAATACTGTAGTTCAAGTCTAATTTATTTCATATATCCCAATTTAATTAAACATCCGAATCTGGGTAATGATCACCAGTATTTGCGGGGAAAATTGGATGTCCATGATCCATAGCATACTGAACAAGCACAGCAACTGCCTCCAGCACAAACACATGGTTCTTCGGATCATGATGATAAGTCGCATCAAGGATTCGAAAGTCCTTCAATCTTCCATTCAAACTCTCTTGTCTTGCTCGCAACTTGGATTTGAATTCGAATAGGGGTCCAGGATCAGCAAGGCTGGGGAGGGCAAGCTTTGCGTTGTTGCCTGCCGTCTTTTTGTCAGTGTAGACTCTGTCACAGACAACAACTTTTCCTTCTGGAACCTTTTCCCGTAGCCCTCCATCTTCTGCAAAGATTTCCCGATCACCCATAGCACCCCTCTTTGGTCCGCTTATCCATACGATCTTGGCCTCATATGCGTCGATCCCAATCTCATACTTGAGTGCACCATGTTTGTACTTGTGGCTCATAGTTTTTGGGTCCATGTTGCTGTCGTTTGTTGACTTCTCCCATGTTCGAAAATCGACACCGTCCACAGTCAAAAGGATATACCTGTCGCTTCTCTTGTATTCTTGCTCTGGCCAGATAATAACTTTGACCTTGAGTCCCGCGATTATCTTCACCCAATACCAAAGTTTTTCACCTTCGACCTGTCCCTTCTTCACCCTGGTCGTGTACGCCAGGATTGTGGCATTTTTTGGATACGCCCAGAGAAAGTGCAGTGCTCTCAAGAACCCTTTGAAACCCTGCTCCGTCAAGTCGGACTTGTGCAGCACGATATTGCTCTCCTCTTCCGCGATATCTGCCCAAACCCAGGAAACTGTTGTTGGCGTCGGGCCAAAGAAGGCCTTAAACAAATCAATAAAGTGTTGCTCCTCGTGATGTTCCTCGTCAATGTCAGGTAGGCCAGGAATAACCTCGAAACCGCGGACCAGTATCTCCGATGGCGTGAGAGCTCCAACTGCAGCTGATAGTTTCATTAGAAAAGATTACAAATAAATATCGCGTATTATGAGTTTGCAATTATTGGAACTGCTTCTATGATGTTGAAGGTATCCTCATTCTGATCCTTGAACTACGGCTTGAACATATCTTTGGAACAAATGTGGTCAGACTTGCAGACAATTCGAAAGGTCTGTGCTCGTCCAGTCAGGACATCGCAAAATACCAGCCATACTTCAACTGAAGAACAAGGAACTAGTATAATAGTATGCAAGCGATAACAATTCAGATTAGTTTATTAAAACTATTTGAGCTTTTGTGTTTTGTTAGGAGGATTCGTCTCACTGTTGACTTGGCGCTTTCGAGTATCTTCCCCTTTCAAAACATAAATGACATCATCCCCGTCAACATCCATTTGCTCCTCACTAGTCTCACCAAGTCCCAGAGCCTCCAAGCGATCAGTCAGAGTCTCATCATTGGCGTCCACTGGAGCTTTGCAGCAGTGGATCGTCTTCCGATTTTCTCTCTTGTCATTCAAGTAATTTATGAACCTACGCCGGCGGTTTTCCTGATATATATGACGACGAAACTCTGTCAGGGAGAAGTCTCTATACTCATTCTTGGTTTGCTGCAGCTGCTCTGGTTTCATTGTGTTATGCTTCCCTTCCGCAACATCCTGCCTCAAAAGTAGTTTCGCTGGATGGCAATACCAAAGTGGACTTCCGTCAGCTTTCTTGGACACAGGAGGGAATCGTTTTCTGTCTTCACGCCACATCTCTTCTTCCTCCATCGATCTCTTCTTGCCATCCTTAAGTTGCTTTCGATGACTGGCCAGATTCCTTTTGAATTGGTCAAACTTCACCTCTTCGAACGCTGGAAGGTGTTTATAGTGCATTTCCCAAGCTTGTGCGGCTGTCATTGCTCTCTTCTCAAGTCTCTCTTTAAAGGAATTGAACTTCTCTGCTTCATTTTCTTCGGTTAAGTCTGATTCCAATGCTTTGTAGTAAGACTTCCATTTCCCTAGAGGCTTCTTTGCGTTCCTCTCAAGGGACAAGACGCCTCGATACAAGTCTTCCATGAGGATGCATTTTGCTTCACTTTTTTTCCAGGGGAATGGAGGTGGCTTCGGAGGCCCATTTTGCTTTCTCCTCTGCACTTGACCACGATGAGCTTTTAACCTTATCTTGAACTCTTTGAGCCCAACAGCTTGTACTTCACCATTATCTTTATAGTATTGATGGAATGCTTGTTCCGCAGACATTTGGTCTTCAAACAGCGACAGGTTGCCACTTTCCAAATCAGCAAGGATGATGGCGCGAGCTGGGTTTGCATCCCAGCGTTTAGGCTTGTCTTTAGTTGCCATGGTCAGAAAAATTGGTTTGATTTTGTGAAATGTGAAGAGTTTGTTTCGAAAATCGTGAAGAATATGGTGGGCGTTTTGCGTTTGCGATGTGTCCCATGTGACATCGGGTTTTTGCATGGCGATCCAAGACTGGAAAAACGGTTTGGTGAAAACTCATTCAAACTGCAATCACACAAAACCAATCCATGATCCATTACCACACAACTCAAAAGCACTCGTAAGCAAGCAACTGCAAAAGGTAATTAAGATGGCTGTTCCTAAGCATGTACGAAAGAGTCTGCTTAAAGCTGTGGAGAAGATGA